GCTGTGTTCATCCAGCTCTACACCTTGTTATCCATGCTTGCTCACTTGTTTTGCAAACAGATAAGAATGTATCTTCCTTTGGCAAGAAATTAGTGTATTGTATCTATATAGATCCTGTGACACCTACTTCATATGAATTCTCTTTACAGGACCTTGATAATGTTAGAACCAAGTACAGAGTCAACCATCTGCTGCTAAAACTAATGCAGGGCAGGGCTGGCATATCCACTGCTATTAAAATTAGATCTATATCCACTCCAACAACCAAGTGGTTTGGGTATTGGGTAACCCTGTTTCTTGATTGCAGACACATGCTTGCACTTTAATTTTCCTTTCCCTTTAGTTTTGTTGACCAATTCTTAATAGCTCACTTGGTTAGCCTTGGAAAAGATTGCTAGTGGGTTGACATGTCTTCTGTGTCTTTCTAAACGTTTGCAGAATTTTTGTCATCAAATTGTGCCAATTCATTTGGATTTTATTCACAACAATTTTCAGCTTTGGTAATTAGTTTATTCTCTGCACTCATCCAAGTTGTAATTGAGACATGTATTATAATAATAATAATAAGCAAGCCTTGGAAAATTTGGCAAATTCTAAGTAATAACACAAAGTGGTCAGTGAGCTTTCCAGAAAGACAACACATTGGATATTTTTACCACTAATGTCAATGAAAACACTATTTCATGCTATTTAGGACTAAACTGCATCCATATCAGAAAATCTAGGCTAAAGACATCTTTATATAACACACATTTTATCTGTGTTGTTAACAAAATTAGAATACTTTCAAAACAAAATCGCTTACAAAAATAAGAGTGATTTCACAAGGCTTGCTTATTATTATTATTATAATACATGTCTCAATTACAACTTGGATGAGTGCAGAGAATAAACTAATTACCAAAGCTGAAAATTGTTGTGAATAAAATCCAAATGAATTGGCACAATTTGATGACAAAAATTCTGCAAACGTTTAGAAAGACACAGAAGACATGTCAACCCACTAGCAATCTTTTCCAAGGCTAACCAAAAAGCTAATTAGCTAGTGATGGCAACATACTTGTTACACATACGAAATCATCACCATCTGAGCCACATGCCTCTGTGAGTACACTTACAGTAGTTTGGAGCTTAGCGTCTGAATGTGTACACACGCAAATGCCATCTGTGTCCTGCAGCTCATTGACTGAGGTTGCAGTGATCTTGGTTCTAAACTAGAGGTGGCATTGATTGAACTGTTTCCTGCCTGTCCTATATAGAAGCTCCACTCCAACAGAAAGCCCTATGGATATGGGGCAGAGTGTTGCAGTGAAGATGGAGGAGACCATCAGTGTGATGACACAACTTTGCTTGCTCACAGTTTACACCTGTATTGGGTCTGTGGTGGATCTGTTGGTGAAGATCATGGCTTTCCTTGAATTTGTCTTGTTGTGGCAATCATGGCCACCGTGCCTCTTGATGGACAGTATCCACATTATGACTCTGTTCTTCTAGCACAGGAAGCAGGCAGTTGAGCAGGTTTTATTTGTAATAACCTTTCCTGTCCACATAACCTGGCATGTTCTCCCTTTTCAGATAACAAGCTAACTTCACCTTTGAATGCCTCAATTCAATCTGTCTCAAACACACTGTCAGGTAGTGCATTCCAAACCTTACCTACTCACTGCAGAAAGGTTTTCCCCATTGTCTCTTTTCAGCTTCTTTTACCAATTACTTTAAATCTGCTCCTCTTATTTTTATCCTTTCATGAGTGAGAGCGGTTTCTCACTATCTTCTCTGTTCTAACACTTCATGATTTCGAATACATCAATCAAACCTCCTTCGGAGATAATAAGAACTGCTGATGCTGGAGTCTGAGATAACAAGGTGTAGAGCTGGATGAACACAGCAGGACAGGCAGCATCAGAGGAGCAGGGAAGCTGACAGAAAATCTGAAGAAGGGTCCAGACCCGAAACGTCAGCTTTCCTGCTCTTCTGATGCTGCCTGGCCTGCTGTGTTCCTCCAGAGCTACACCTTATAATCAAACCTCCTTACAGCCTTCTGTTCTTCAAGTTAAACAGTCCAATCTATCTTCATTACTGAAGTTCCTCATCCCTGGAACAATTTTTTTCTGTGCCCTCTCCAAGGTCTTCAGATCCATGTTGAAGTATGATGCCCAGAACTGGTCTAATACGCCAGCTGATGCTGAGCAGGTGTCCTAAAAAGTTCAAAATAACTTCCTTGCTCACTGGTTCAGACGTATACTTGTTGAGGACTGAGTAATCAGCACATTTGTTGGTCCTGATTGTTAAACCAGGATTGACAAGGGTAAACAGCTAGATACCTCTGTGACTAAGAATTTAATGACGTTTATTTCAATTTAGAACACGACTTTATTAATCATGGCATAGTTTTTTTTTATTCATTAATGGGATGAGGGCATCGTTGGCCAGGCAGCATTTATTGCCCATCCCTAATTGCCCAGAGCGCAGGTCAGAGTCAACCACATTGCTGTGGGCCTGGAGTTACATGTAGGCCAGACCAGGTAAGGATGGCAGTTTCCTTCCTTAAAGGACATTAGTGAACCAGATGGGTTTTTCCGACAATCAACAATGGATTCATGGTCATCATTAGATTCTTAATTCAAGATATGTTTATTGAATTCAAATTCCATTATCTGCCATCAAACCTGGGTCCGCAGAACATTATCTGGGTCTCTGGATTAACAATCCAATGATCATAACCATTATGTCATTGCCTCCCCTATAGCAATGATAAAAGGAATGAGGTTATGTTGGAGCTGTACAAAACTGTGGTTAGGCCACAGCTGTGTGCAGTTCTGGTCATTGCACTGTAGGAAGGATGTGATTGCACTGGAGGGGGTTCAGAGGAGATTTACCTGGATGTTGCTTGGGCTGGAGCATTTTAGCTATGAAGCGAGGCTAGAGAAGCTTGGGTTGTTTTCTTTAGAACAGAGAAGGCTGAGGGGGTACTTGATTGAGGTGTATAAGGTAATGAGGGGCATGGACAGCATGGATAGGAAGCAGCTGTACCCCTTAATTGAAGGGTCAGTAATGGGGGACCATAATTTTAGGGTGAAGGGCAGGAGATTTAGATTTGGGATTTGAGGAAAACCTTTTCACCCAGAGGGTGGTAGGAATCTTGAATACACTGCCTGGGAGGGTAGCAGAGTTGGGAAACCTCTCAACCTTTAAAAGGTACATGGATGAACACTAGAAATGTCATGACATTCAAGGCTATGGGCTAAGCGCAGTGAATTGGGACTAGTTTAGTTAGGTTGGTGTAGACTTATTCTTTGCTGTATGACTCTTATAATTTAGGATATAGAATATCGACAAAGGGCCCCCTTGGTGCAGTGATAGTGTCCGTATCTCTTGGTCAGGTCCCACCTGTTCCAGAAGTGTATCATAAAGTTTTATGATCTGCTTGATTCAAAATATCTACAATAAGTCTTTACTTAAATAAATTATTTCACTTAGTGTGCATTTCCTGCTAGTGTTACATTTACTTCCTCTAACACTTAGAATTTCCTTGTAATAAGGTAAAGCCACCATAGTCCTACTCTCTCATCAGAGACACAGTTGGAGGTGGTTTAACTTGAGGGTCATCACACCTCAGGCAAGGGGAAGAGGTTGGGAAGGAGAGTCCTTCATGGCAATCTCAGCCATTGTAGGAAATGAACCTTTACTGTTAGTGTCTCTCTGTATTACAATCCAGGCATCCAACCAACTGAGCTAACGTTTTTATAATGGGGAAAAGCATTTACTTATTTTCCAGCTGTGGATAATATTGAATATGTTGGAAGCTTTTAGACTGTATCTTGGATGATTCAGAGTAATGCTCCATGATTTGATATCAATGTTCATTTTTTCTGTTGATTTGCAGGAGTGTGAAGCATCAATGCAGGAGTTCTGATGGGGGTGATGTACATTTCACTGAGTGACCTTGTAGTTGATATTTGAAGGAAAACCAATGACTATTTCCAAAAGTTGAACTTATGGAACCAAGATCTTCAATGTTCCTGCAGCAGGGACTCAGAACCTAATCAAACAAGACTGCTACGAAGATACTGATCACCAATCCATTGAAGTCTATGTTTTAAATTTCTAGTTTCTCTCTTTACAATACATTAAATATTAAGCACTGTATAATGTCATGTAGTGATATTTACTGCAGCCTCAGGCCAGGAATATCGAAAGTGATAGGTGAAGATAGTGTTACATAGTATCGAAACTGCTCACATTCTAACACAGTGGACAGAATCGCTGTTTTCTGAAAGTGATTTTAGACAGGAATAAAACAAAAGACACTTTGTGAATGATACAATAGTGTTGTGACTTCTGGTTTCTCAGGTTAATTCACTGATATAGGATCGTGATACAAACAGAGGTAAGTTAATTTAGCCTTAGAATCCTGTTATTGTTGAGGTTTATAATTATGCCCTCAGCTATAACTTTTAAAAACTTTGCCTGTATGAAGAAGGTGGAACGGATGATTCTATACTGTATTCTTCCAAATGTGATCATCAAAGATTGAAAATAAAAGGCAAGCGATGTGAATGATTCCCTTCAATACCTTTATGTTTTTTAAAAACAATCTTCCCATCATTTTCTCTTCAAAAAGCTATTGGAAAATGTTTATCAACTTTAATATCCTTTTGTTCACCCCTACCATCATTTATTTAGAGAAAACTGTATAACAGTGTTGGTACATTCAGAGAAACTGAACCGAAGGATAGAAGCCTGTGATATTGGTGTTGTACCATTCAATGATTCTAGTGCATGAGATACATGATGGAGAAAAGATTTATAAAAAGTCTTGTACGTTACAGCCATCAGGAAAGCTTGAACTCGCTGTGTTTTTTCTCTCTCTAAAAAGTGAAGAGCTGAAGGATGACCTGAAAGGTCTGTCTAAGATAATGGAAGGGTTTCAATAGGTAGATGTAATAAAAATTCATCCACTTGTTTGTACTCTATGTCCTTGCATACATGTCCTAGAGCTCTCAATATGGGCAGGCAGATAAAGATATTACACATGCTGAACCAAAATAAGAACTATAAAAATGAAACAATTTCTAAAAAATATAGCAGTGAATTCAGGAGAAATGTCTTTATCCAGAAGGAATGTGCAACTGGATTACACCAGAAATAGCAGAGGTAATTAGCTTTAATGCAGTGATACTAAGTAAATATGTGAGAACAGAATAGATGGTTAAGCTGATAAGCTTAAATAGACAAAAAGGGATGTCAAGCGACTCCTGGGCCATAAACCTGATGGCTAAATGTGCTGTACGGGTGATATACTTCCATGAATGTAGTATCTGTACTATGGATGGAATCGTGAAGGGTGACCTTAATTTACACCAAACATCACTAATCATTTTCAGAGAATTTTTGTTTTGACAGCATGCTACTAACACGTTCAGTCAGCCTGTTAAACTAAAATCGTTCCTGGGTATTTATACTTGTATTCTAGAGGAATGATCTCATAATGCTAGGAATCAGTTGTGCCTTTGCAAAGTTACAGATGGTTTTTGATGAATCACTGGACACCTCCTGTTCCTACTCCATATCTTACGAGTAGAACTCTAAATATTGTCAAGAAGGGAAAGAGACTGCTTCTGGTGATATTCCACATCCTGAACCTGTACTCTCACTGTACTAAAGAATCGACCCAGCAACAGGATTTCTGGCCAGTGCATTAACTGATGAAAGGTACAGTAAATCTTTCCAATAGCATAAAAAGGACTGCAATATCAGGTATTGCTTGACGATGCAGTTTTGTTCTGACTGCAGATCAGGCAGTTAACAAGGATGTTGGCAAAACGGATGAAATAATGGTTTTGTGACCACTGCACAATCTAATGCCTTTCAATCCAGAGTTCAGTAATGCCGGGAAAGACCCCTCTGGACAGAATTCTCCCACGACAAATCAACTGATTACGACCTTCCGAGTTTGTGAAGCATAAATTCAGTGGGAACTAGGTAAGAGGCATACCAGCTGATATGCTGGATACAATGCAAAATGCTGGATATAATGTTTAACACTATTCCAAATGGAACTTTTAATTGGTACAAATGTTGCAAATTTGTCATATGACTGGTCTCTGAACTGGAATTTACCACCCAGCGCATAGAAGAGACAGTTTATCATCCAGCTACAGGGCACCAAAGTGAGCAAGATGTGCATCAAAGTAGCACAGGCCCACACAAAGAGGGCCTATGAAGACCACAGAGTTAAGAATCCTTCAACGTTATCACATAGCACCTCTATAGGACACAAGCCCATTAAACTCTCTTCAGTCAAGCTTCATCACATGTTGCTATGGTGGAATGAGAGTCAGTCAGGTATTGGATTGCAATGGTGAAAAAAGCAGCTCTTGAGGGCACCTAGGGATGGGCAATAAATGCTGCCCAGCCTGCAATGTCCCACAGGTGAATCATGTAAAAAGATTACAGGAGATGAAAGTGCATGGAAAAGCTGTTAGATTTGGGGCAGGTAGGGATTTGTTCTGAGCAAGTGGTGCATAGGGTATACCGAGT